CTGCAGCCCAGCCATGCCCACCTGTCTTGGAGCCAACTGAGTGTGGACTGAAACCTCCAAAAGCTGTAAGAAATAAAGCTTTCCTTTCCCAACTTGGGCATCAGGTATTTTGTCTCAGCGAGGAGCATAAAGTAACTAAGACACACGGCCTCAGGGTTGCATGGTGACCCCTGCTGGGAGGCAGCTAGAGCACTGGAGGTATCACTTGGAATATGCTTGGAATTACACTGCCTTATGCAGCACTGCTTTAGCCTGTGCTTTAGGAGAAAGTTTGGGAAATATATGTTGACTAGCTGGCCAAATAAAGATTCTATGAAGCATATTAAATATCCAAACTATTCTGGGTTCTGCCTTTCTCCCACTGTGGCACAGGTGTTCTGGAGTGAAGAGCACATTGCCAGCCTGCTTGCTGGAAGTGCTATGTAGAAGCACAAGGGAATCCTTTTTCTTGTCTTGCTTGTCTTGAACCCCGGATCTCCTGCATGCTAAGCAAGTGCTTTTTCACTGAGCTACACTCCCAATCATTTTTAAATTTTATTTTGATATAGGGTTTCCATAAGTTGCCTGGGTAGCCTTGAACTGACTATTATTCTGTCCCAGTTCCCAGAGACAGCAACCCAGCTTGATTTTGTAAATTTTTGAATAATAGCATCATTCCCAGCTTGGCCAAATCTCTTCTGAGAAAGTTAGTTCATTAGCTAACGGAAGGCACAGGATCTCAGAGTACTGATAGTTGGTATCGGGTGACTCGGGGACACTCTAGAACACGCATCTGAGTTTAGTACAACCTGGGCAGAAAGTGCAGAATCAGGTGGTAAAGAGCACAGGTAAGCTGGAGAGAACTGCAGAACTCCCAAGCGGAGCCTGCCTTGAGGATACTCAACCAAGAAGGGTTGGCTCTGGTTGTTGATCATTACCAATCTAGAATCTACTCATGTGGCTTCACGACCCAGAAAACCTAGATTTCCTAAGAAGGCTGGTGGAGACCTGGATGATTCTCTGCTGGTCACAGTATGAATCTGAGGACCTCCTAGCCTCTGACTGCCTTTTGTCTGAGACATCAAGCAGGGAAGTTTTGAGAACAAAACTCATTATATTATCATTATTCATGGAAGTTTACAAATTAAACTTTGGCTGCTTTTCATACTGAATTCTTTTAGATTGAGGTTCCTGTAATTTTGGAATTCTTTGGAGGTATTTTAGATTTCACTGGGAATATTCTTATGTTGTTATTGAAATTAAGGCTCTAAAATATGTTTTAAATTTATGTGAAGAGCTTAATTCTGATCTTAATCTTTTTTTTTTAAAGAAATTCTTTTCTTCTGACAGCATTCTTATGTTTTTATCTGCTATTTAGGACAGAAAAACAAAACCTACTAGCCCAAGTTTGCCTAACCATAACTCTTAAGTCTATCGTTTTAAATAACAAAGAAACAGAGTCTAGAAGCCTTCAAGTTTTATAATCTTTCCTTATGCCAAAGTTCCTAACCCTGCCATGAAATCTGCATACAAACACAGAACCCTGGATTGCCTGATGAGCAGAGAATTTCACACATCCTTCAGGTTATGAACAAAAACACAGGAAAACACTTAAATTACACTCAGGGTCAGCAAAGTTGTGTCTAATAAGTTTAAACTGTAGTGTAATTTAGATTTGACTTTTTTGCTTAAACTCAGGTGTGATGATATCTTAAAGATTGTTCCTAAGCCATTTTCTGCATCAGAGCGATATGTCGAACACAACCAAACTGAACATATATCATATAAGAATATCTTTTATTTCACATTATTTTAATGTTTTATCATTTCTTTTTAAGACGAGACTTTCATAGTGTTGCTCATATTGGCCTTAAACTCCTGTGCTCCACAAATTCCTGCCGAGCTGCTGACTACAGGTGGAGGCTAGTGTGCCAGGCTTCCTTTTGATTGTAGACACTTAGAAGCAGCCACTAATGGGATGAGAGGAGTAGGGAAAGCCATACAGGTGGAAAGCAGTAGACTCAGACCTTGATCTGCTTTTTGACAATCACAGCAGCCCTTCCCACCCCACTCCATAAGGCATTCTTGTCACAATTGCCAGTTTCTTACCGAAGAAAGCTCTAAAATGTATGCTATCATTGACCAAGGTAATTCTGTGTATTGTACTTGTTTTTTTTTTCTCTCTCTCTCTCTCTTCCCATGCTGGAATATTTGTACTTCCTGAGAGCTGGACTCAGGCCCAGGTTCAGGGACTAAGGTTGAAGACCCCACACTAGGGCTGCAGAACTACGAGCAAGCCTGGGCTCTGTAACCTTAGAAGTTGTGTGTCAGGTTGGATCCTCTTTTGGAGATGAGATTTGTTTATTTCACCTAGATATTCATGGGATGATGCAAGGGAAGATGCAAGGGCTTGCAGGATCCTGAAATTGTTTAACTCAGGAGCTTTTGCTCAGTGGCCCTGAGGCTCCTGTCAAATGAAGAGTCAGGGTCCTGCAGCCCCCTGCAAACCTGGCTTCCTGTCAGCAGACACTGTGCAGACTTGAATGGGCATTTTTTGGGACAAGTTGAGTGTCTGAGCTTTGAGGAAACAAGTGGCATTCTGAGTAAAAGGTGAACGGAGGACTTTAAGTCCTGTAAGAGACTGGTATTTATATTCTTCAACACCTTTGAGATGGAGACTTAAGCTAATGTCTCTGTAGGACATGGGTAACAGCACAGCACAGACTTACTTTCCTCTCTAGGCCTCAGTGGATGCTTGGGTAGCACTCCGTTCAGCAGTTGCGGACAATGGTAACAAGCCTGAGCCATTTACTACAGGGAGGCAAATCTCTATGCTGTCTTGCATTCCACAGCAAGAATACACAGTTACTTTGGTTCTAAACTAGCTTTCCAGGGGCATCTGTAGAGCGGACAGCCAGGGAGGACAGAGGAGTCTCCTCTGGGAAAGGGAAGGTCACCTTTGTCCAGTGTAATAAGGACTGGAGAGGTGGCAGATGGGTCTGCTGGCAGCAGTGTGTAACATCCACCCAGGCCCTTCCCTTCCCCTGTGCATAAGCTGCAGGGGCCAAAGGCACCAAGGAGCACACAGCACTTGCTAAGTGCTGAGATCTCTGACCGGGGGCTCTGGCTTGCTCCCAGCATCATGAGTCTAGGGTGGAGACTTGTCAACTTCCAATTTGGGCACAGTCCAAGCCTGTAAGTTCTTCCACCCTTCCTTCCTCTGGCCAAAACCACACAGAAGCTGAGTGCTAGAAGCAATGTGGTGGGTAGGAATGCTGCTAGCCCATGTCACTGGAACCTATATGTGACTCAGAGAAATTCAGGTCACTGATTAGCTGATTTTAAAATATGGAGTCTTCTGGTTAAAGCAGACAGCAAGATAGCTGCTGTTTTGAATGATGCTGCATTTAGGGTAGAGTTTAACAAATTTTAAAATCCTTAACCTTAGACCTTGTGCTTTTCTGTTCATTTCCTTATCTTTCTTTTTCTTTTCTTTTCTTTTTTTTTTTTAATCGGTACCGGGGATCGAACTCATAACCACGTGCTTGCAAGGCAGGTGCTTATGCCGCTGAGCTAAATTCCCAGCCCATTACTGTTTTTTGTTTTGTTTTGTTTTGTCTTCTTTTTTATCGGTACCGGGGATCGAACTCACGACCATGTGCTTGCAAGGCAGACGCTTATGCTGCTGAGCTAAATCCCCAGCCCCTGCCTTTCTTTTTCATTTGTTTGTAATATGTATAAATTCTTGTGTGCAGCCTCTAAGAAGTGAATGCGGAGAGTACCTTGGACTGTCTCTGCGCCAGTGTAATTGCAGGACCTCAAGGTGGGTGAGGCAGTAGGGGAGGGAGCTGAGTGACAGGCTGTGAGGAGGATTCAGCCTGCTGTTAGTGGGTCTGGAGGAGGAGCAGGTGAGAACTGTCTGGGGTTTCTGCACTACAAAACAGGAAGACAATGAAGTTTTTTTGATATCAGAGAATTGAGGGAATTACTGAGGCAAAAGAAAATAATAGGACATACAGATAGCTTTTCAATTTATGTTTTTAGGTGGCATTCTGCTAGCATCTACTGGGAGTGGTACGAGGCAGGATTTCTTATGCATTTATTATTTGTCCTCAAATTCCCTCATTAGTCCTCAAGCTTCTGCCCATACAGAGGCATAAGAGTTCAGGAGGAGCCTTCCTGTGCACATAACATTAAGCAAAGGAGTCTGTTGTGTGCATCTGTGGTGTGTAAGGTGGAATGTGTGTGTTACTTGGTGGAATGTGCTGGTTAAGAACTTAAAAATGGGAAGAAGAAATTAGGCTGGAGAACCAGAGACCAATAGAGGTTTGTTTTCTTTCATATTAAGAAAGGAAGGGCCTGTGAGACCAGCTGGTGAAGCCCTGAAGACATACAAAGGACACTGTCACTGACAGTCACCTCTTGGTCACTGCCACAAGATGACTGAGGGCTGTCTCCTTCCAGCACATCTGTCCCATCACTGTTGAGCTCCTCACACGAGGGCAGGTCACACAGAGTACACTCAAATGCACACACATGTATGCATATTCACACATACACTAGCATACTCTTACATACATACTATATATATGCACGTACTTATTCTTATAAATTTACTCATGCTCATACCTCTACACATATGAATAAACATGCAAACATGTGTACACTTGTACATATTATGTGTACACTCTCAAGTGTGTACACATTTATACATGCACTTGTGCATCATGTACTCATGTGTGCAAGAACTCACACAACCACAGTTTGGAGTGACTAGGATACTGTGCATCTCCACATGAGATACAGACACACACACACACACACACACACACACACACACACACACACAAACACAGAGATATGTCTGGACTTATGAGAGGCTGCCCACCTCCCTGTGAGATGTCATGCGGTATAGCAGAGGTTCACAGTGGCTGGTAAACAGAAGAATAAAAAGGTTATCCTTGGACTGTTATTAGTAACAACATAGAAAATCCAAAGCTTCTTGTTATATTAGAAAAATATTACCCTTCATAAAATCCATGTTTATTCAAAAAATCTATTCTGAAAGTCTGGAAAGCATAATAAATATCTGTACAGTGGCCGCCCGTCTCAAACATGAAATATAAAGCGCGAACATGAAAATGGCCTGTAAACACAACTGCCGAGCTTGTAAACAAAGTGCTAAGTTGGAGGACTGGGACAGAGTAGCGCGTGGGGCGGGGCAACCAGGATGTGTGCGGAGTCTCCTCCTCAGCTTTGAAACCACCCTGGTTGCACCTTACACCTCTTCCTAACCAGTCACGGACTGCGGGATCCTCTCCCAGCCTAGAAGTTTTGCAACTCTTGCAAAGGTTAAGGGCAACTGAACATGTCAGAGACAGAAGCCTGAAACAAACTTTATCCTGTGCTTGAGAGAATCAGTAATTGTAAGGTAAAAATCCTGTGTGCATTTTCAGAAATAACACCATTTACCGCACAATAGTGGCTAACATGGCTACTGTCACTCACTGAACAATATTCCAAACATCAGCACACAAGAGGCTAGTTAAAAATGTTGCACAAATTTAACCTTAGGATCAAACTGAAATCCTCATGTCTCACCCACATTTCATTTTGGGGTTGGAATCCTACAAAGCTCTCCCAATTGTGGGGTGAATTGGGTATTCCTCCCAGGTTGGGGGTTTGATAGGCAGGATGGCCCTAGAAAGGACCTAGAAGGGTGCACCCTGCACTAGATTAGGAATCCTGGGATGGAAACTGAGTATTTTTCATGAGTAATTCTATGGTTTTATGATCCCAAGGGGCTACGACTCTCTGTAAGCAGGTAGGACACTGAACTTCCTGAGATGCCTGCACATCTGCGTGAAGCATGTGAAGCCTTTCATGAAAGAGGGAGGTTCATTGGATGGGGAGATAAATACTAATGCTACCCACAGTCACGCATTCCCTACTGCTTACAAACTGTAGTCAATTGCTGTTTCCCTTAAGATTTTAAAAAGCTAAGTTAACAGACTTCCATCATAACCCCTTTAGGCTGGATTTCCTGTGAGGGACTTCAAGTACCCCTGTGCTCTGAGTAGGCACAGAAAAATCAAGGTATTTTACAGGCTCTCATCAGATGTCATCAAGGACGGTTGGGCAACGGTCACCTCCATCCTTTCAGGATGCTTGCAGCTCAGAATATGAGGTGTGGTAAGTGGGCATTACTGAAGGAGCGGTGAGTGGGCTGAGAAGCCCACAGGTGCTGTGTGATGCCCCTTCCTCGGTGATGTGCTGTCTTTTATTTCCCCGGTTCTTTCCCCTGCATCAGAACTCATGGCTGCAAGTGAACCAACCAACCTCAGCAAAGGCTGCAAGCAGCTGATGGGCAAATCGATGCCTGTGATGCAAGCAGAGGATTTAAATGCTCATTTTCAGGAGGATGAAATCTATGACTTAAGTACTGTAATTTTTCCTAGGTTTCTAATACGAAATAAAACCAGATCTAAATCATGAAGTGATTGGGAAAGTCACTTTAGCCTTGGGGAAAAGTATTTCCCATTAAGCAAATATGAGCAGTGCCCAATAGGCCCTCTAAAGACAGGTACATAATCTGTCCCCCACCTTTTGATTTTTTGTAGATCTGTCTAAAAAATAGTCTTATGGAATAATTAAAGCTTCCGAAACAAGTTTATATTTTAAGGTCTGAAAACAAACCAAGCTGAGTTATTTTCCAGAATGCAGCACTTTTTGGGGGTGTGGTGTTGGGTTCTGGAGTGAACCAAGATGGAAGGGAAAAGGATGAAATAACTACAGTCTTCTGGCGCAAGCCTGGTGTGACCCACAGGGGGCTCTCAGTCACTGCTGGGTACAGAGGGCGCTCTTCCTCAGTGGTACCAGGAGCAGGGACAATGAGCCACTGGTGACAGATTCCCCGTCTACCCTCCTCAGGGATTCCCTGGCTTGAGCCTGGAGGAAGGCATCCTCCGTACCTCCAAGGGAGGCTGAGAACACACAGGTCCTTAAGGGCTAGGCTAAGCCTGCTACACAAGAAGGTTCTCACTCCATTCTACTTCACAAGTAACACACTTGCGTGCGCACGCCACACCAACAAAAATGAAATATTGATTTAAAACACATCTGTGCAACAGAAACACAAAACATGACTTAAACCACAGTTTCTACAAAGTGCTTCTCTGCTGATGGTGGCCCTGGGCCTCCTGCCTGCATGAGTGAGGGCTGGGGCCCGTCTCCCTTCTTTCCCCAGTCCTATGGAAGAGGGATGGGGGAGGGGACAACATTCCACAGTCCACCCTTCATAGCTTCTCTGCAGACCAGAAAAACGAAGTGAGCAAACACAGCAAAACCTTTGCCTTGGAGGCAAGTGCAGACCCAGAGAGACTCTGTTGCCTCTGTCACCACGGAGCTGGGGACATTGGATCAGCCTCTATAGGGGCAACCTAGACAGAGTTGTGCTGGTTTCACCTGACTCCATTCCTTCGCAGGGCTCTGTCCAGACCCTTGTGAAATGGGTCTGTGGAGTACAGAGCTAGCTGCCAGCCTCCTGCAAGGGCCTCCACTTTCACAGGTCTGGGGAGGAAAGGAGAAAGCAGCCAATGCCTACCTATGACCAGAGGCAAGCAGACAGCTCTTTGGATGATTTTGGGCAGGACTAGGCCTCTAACCTGGATGATCCTATGTCACCCAAATCATGTGGCTATCAAGACACCAAGACACCGGGAGGTCTGGATGCATCCAGCCCCTCAGAGGGGCTCTCAGTCACCTGCCAGGATCCCACACTGATGTCCTTCTCCCTGTGTTGGGAGTCTGATCATATTACTGGCTTCAGAGCTGGACACAATCTCTCCCTATAATTTCACACCATGATATGGACAGATCAGGACTCTGGGAGCAACGTAGGCTCCAACATGGTGATGCGAGGTGACTGCATTCATTTGGTTTTGCTTGGGAGTGAAGGAGAGAGCAGGCGGCAAGTTCAGCACAGCAAGACTCTGAGGATCACCAAAGGACCCTCTTTGGGGCCAAGAAAGAAATACAGAGACAGTGAAGGCCTGTTCTGCCATCAGGTTGGACTTGTGGTCACTTCTGGTGCCTGTGAGCGGGGCCATGTCCAATGCCCAGGAGCCTGAGAGGGTGCCGGGCAGGACAGAGGGGGCTGGCGTCCAGGTGCTGCTGACTGCTACAACCTTGTGGACGTGAGTCTTTTCATGCCTCTGCGCTGGGCCAGGCTGGATGACAACACAGGCTCCAGCCGTGGGGCCTGTGGCGTCCTGTTTAGAGCAAAGTAGGTGGCTGCCATTGCACCCTAAAAGAGAAAGGGAAGGCAAAGATGAGTATGGTGGCCTGCAACTCCTAACTGTGGTGGATGGGGTGCTGGGGCCGTAGGACTCTGCAGAGCCTTAGGCACTGTCCCCAGGATTACTGAGGCCCTGACAGTAGGGAGTTTGCAGTGTTGGGCACACAGTGGGCCCACACATTTTAGTGTCATCTTATCCAGTCACCATCCTACACCAACCTCCAAAAGTGCTTGTGCCTCAGAAGCAAGTATTATGGACCTGTGTGGAGCCCTAGGATGAGGCCATATCACCTGCTTGCTGTTGACAGGGAGGCCAGGTCTGTTTTGGGGGCTGCAGGGCCCCCAGGAACACAGTCATGGACAATGCCAGAGACCATCAACCTCAGTGTTTGCCACTTTGGAGTACTCTAGACTAACATGGTGACCAGGCTTATCCCGGAGTAGCTCCATATCCTCAGGATGGAACCACAACAGACCATTCCTAAATGGATGATGCCACATCCTGCAGGGTGTCAGAAGAGGGGTCCTGCCCAGAACATAGCTGCCTGAGAGATGAATGCTCTTCTGGCTGCCTGTGTCTAGCACAACTGGGATGTCTGCAGACCTCTGGAACTTGAGACCACATGGTCACCATACCTGCCACTCTCCCCTGCATAGAAGCTGTCACTTAAATATGAATGCTGGGTGTGGCTACACATGTGTGATGAAATGGCTGGTTGGTATTTAAGGGACACCTGCAGCTCCTGTGGCCCCACCTCTCCCAAAGCCACTTGGTACCTTCACCAGGTGAACGTCTTGTCTGCTCAGCTGATTCTGGGACAGGAACTCTCTGTTGACAATCCACGGGTGCTTCAGCACTTGCACAGCTGTCAGGCGCTGCTGCGGGTCCACATGGAGCATCTTGGACACAATATCCTGCAGAGAGTCATGGGCAGAGGGGAAAGGGTTCCAGACTAGTTGATGGATGCCTAGTGGAAGTTCTTCCACGCCTTTATGGCAAAACTCAATAACTATTTCGAGGGTGACTCTTGTTTTGGGATCAAGTGATTACTTTTAGACATATGGGCATGTGAACTGGTTTTTGTTTTAAGTGTCCCAACTTAGCAGCTCACAGAGGGCTTATATTTTATTACAAATTTTGCATTCAATTTGAAGTTAAATATTAAAATGTTAAATGATATAGGTAAGTTGGTGAAAAACTATTTTAATAAAAATGATATCCTTAAAAATGATAACCTTCCCTAGGGGAGGCTAAAATAATGAATATCTCACTGATAGAAACTAACTAATAAGCTGGTCATGGTGGCACATGCCTAAAATCCCAGCACTTGGGAGGCTGAGGCAGGAAGATCATTGTGAGTTTGAGACCAGTTTGGGCTACCAAGTGAGATCAGGGCCAGCCTGAACTGCATAGTAAGACTCTGTCTCAAAAAAAAAAAAAAAAAAAAAAAAAGGCCAAACAAAAGAAACTAACTAATGACAATGTATGTATTATACTTGTATTATTTGTATCAGGACTGTCTACAAATTTACGCTTAATAATACAAGTTACATATATGTCATCGTGTATGCCAGTGGTTCATGTCCACTCAAGATAATTATAACAACTATAAAATTACTCAAGTTGATTTAATTATAGAGCTCTGCTTTATACTGCATATACATGTTGACAATCCATGCATGTGCTCATACAATGTCATACATGTTCAATCACAAACATTTTACATTTGCATTGTATTTCATGAAAAGGCTTGTACTTCATACACTGCATTAATTAGTCTTCATACAGGCCTTGAGGTGAACAGAGCAAGTATTGCTTCCTCTATTCCACAGATGAAGATATTGAAGTTCCCAGGGATAATCCTTTAAGAAAGACCTAAAATAGGAGTCACATTCACCCCATTATCCTGCTCTCCTTTCTTTGGTATTCTCACCATACTTAAATAGGAGCTAAAAGAAACTTGAATGCATGCGTAGTATGAATTTGAATCAGTTAATGGAATTTTTCATCATAAACTACAACAAAGAAATATTATATACTATAACAATACCCTTTGTTATAGTTTATATCTAAAATCTCCTCCAAAGCTTCATGTGATCATAGTGGGGGTTTTTGGGAGGTGACTGGATCATAGGAGTGTGATACTCATTAGTGGATTAATCTGCTAATGACTATATAGCTAAATGTTGATGCTGGGCAAAGGTGAGACACTGGGAGTGTGGCCCGGAAGGGTATGTGTGCCTCCCTCCTCCCTTGATCTCTCTCTGCTGTCTGCCTGCCACACCAGGAACTCCTCTGCCATGCCATTCTGCCTTAGAACCAGTCTACTATGGGCTGAAATCTCTATAACTGGGAACCAAAGTAAATCTCCTCTTCATTAAATTGTGCATGTCAGGTATTTGGTCTCAGGGATGAGAAAGTAACTGAGGCACTATCCTTGCAGAGAGAAATACAATATGCTTTGTTGTTGTTTTTTTTTTTTTTTTGTCTTTTTCATTTTTATCAGTATCAGGGATCAAACTCACGACCACACACTTGCAAGGAAGGCGTTATGCCGCTGAGCTAAATCCCCAGCCCCTGCTTTGTTATTTGATAACAACAACCTCAGTTCTTCCCTGCAGAAATGTCTCCTGGAAGTGGGACTGCACGCAGTTTCAGATGTGAAAGTGGAAGCAAAGAGAACATTACTGACTTGCTCAAGAATTCCATAACTATGACACAGCAGGAAGCGGTCCATTCTCATTCAACACCTGAGGTCATGGATAAAGACGTGCTACCAGGGAGGGAGTGTGACTCGGTGGTAGAGCACTTGCCTAGCATGTGCAAGGCCCTGAATTTAATCCCTAGTAATCCTCCGTTCCCTCAAGACATGCTATCCAGAACTTCACCTGAGTTTGGAGGGCTGGAGGTTCTCTTTCTGTCTCTAAACATTTATGTCTATGTTTGTGTCTAGGTCTATGTTTCCTATTCTTTTTCTCTGCAGAACCCTAACTAATATACTAACAGAAAATGATTTTTTTTTTGCAAATAACTTTTTTAGCTGCGACACTTAAAAACACCATGTGAATAGAATATCCAAACAATTTATATGGAAGGTATCTTCTACCTTCATCTGAAATAATATGGTTAGTGTGAAGCCTCCATGATCAAGAGCTAAGAACACTGGGAGTTGGACTCACTTTTGCTGCATCAGATATGGAGTCCCAGTTCCCTCCAGAGAGGGCGTACTTCCCACTGCCAATCCTCGCCAAGATCTCCTCAGGAGTGTCATCCGGTCCATTGGCAAAAGGGGTAAATCTGCAGTGAGAGAACTGGTGGCAATGAGTTTCCGTTTTGCAATATAAAACAAAGTTTACACTTACTACTGGCACTCCGTAGACAGTTTCTTTCCCCCGTTATTTTCTAAATCACAGATTCACTGTAAATCATAGTGCATTTCCTAACGCTATGTTCTTTTTAAAAAAATCTTGGTTATCAAAGCTAGTGGTTGACAAGGTGGGTGGGGAAAGCCTTTGGGACTTAAAAATGTGAATTTCCTGGGCCCTTTTAGGTCACACTGATGACAGAATGGTACAGGGTTCTGCTGGAAGATTATTTCCGTAATGATGATATGACATCATGGATGACTGCCAGAGGTATAAAATCTGAGGAACCCATGGTTGATCTATTACCAACTCCAGGTTCTTGGAAAATTAGTTCTTTGAACCTCAATCAAAAAATGAGAGTAATACACTCACAGGAACTTGCAGGTCACACATGCAAATGCACAGGAAAGGTCAGCCACAGTTCTTCCTACCTCCTTGGGAGAGATGCTCATCGCACTTCTTAGAATAAACAAGGCTCTTCAGTGTACATTTCCAAGAGGAGGAATCTCTCTGCCCTGCACCTACCACGTCCCTTAGTGGCAGTGTGAGTGTCAGAGGGACCTCAGAGCAATCTGCAGCATGGTACTGGGAAAAGCTTGATGATTTTCTTTGCCACTGTGGCCTCAAAGCCCCTTCCCTGCTTCTGAGAGGCTAACCCCTTGATGAAGACATGAACTACTGATTTATCATGAATTCCTAAAATGTGGGCCAACCTCCTTCCTCCTGTGAGGGCTACAGCAATGACCTAGGGTACATTCTAGTATTTAATAAAAACCTTGGGGACCAGTAGAAGCTGGGCCCTTCCTAGTGAGAAGGATCCCTGTTGCATCTTCTCCAGCATCGAAGAAGGAAGTAAAACTATTGTGGGGAAAGGTTCAGCCCAGAATTCAGAGCTGGAGAAGCAGAGGTCAGTGGGACCCAGGCACCTGACCTGGTCTCTTGCTGTCTGTGCCATGTGTTGGGCGCAGGCGCTCAACATACCATACCCCAGCCGGGACTAAGGACCACGCCAGCTTCCGCAATGCGCTACGTCCCTCTTTAAATTAGCCAACCCGTGTGCACTTCGTGCTCACTCCATACTCTGTTACAACTCCTGATTGGCCACAGCTGGATATAGTAGCCGGAGCCTACATCCCATTCCCGCCCTGCTTCCTTGTGGCAGCCTGTGATTGGTCACGGCCGAATATATAAACCAGAGCCCGCCTAAATAAACTAGCAGTTAACTGTCGTCCACAAAAGCGTCTCCTGTCTCCTGTTCATTGGAGCTGCGCCGGTCACCATGTCCCTTCATCAGGGATTGGGTGGACATGCCTGAGGCCAGTAGGGCTACTGAGGTTAGCCATCTTCAAAAGGCTTTTTGACCCAGAGCTTCTAGATGCTTCCTGGCCAAGAAGATACCTCCGAGGTACAGATGTGGCCCCTGCAGCCAGCAGAATGTAGACTAGAGGGCAAAAGTCTGGAGGTTTTGTTTCTGATCCTTGATCTGTAGTGGTCCTCAGGCACTAAGAAAGGTGGTATGTGTTTACTCCAACTGGGGCTGTTTCTATGTAACATTTGCTTGAATTTATTTCCTGGGCTGAGTGGGGGAGGACCCTTGCCCTCTGCTGAGGTGTGTGTCCTTGCTCCTGACACCCTCTGGGGCCATCACTCACCCTGCCAGCATGGTGTATAGCAGGATTCCCAAGCTCCAGACATCACACGCTGCATCATAGCCTTGTCTCTTCAGGACCTGCGAGGGATGAGAGGCACGGGAAGTACTTCAGTAAGGGACTCAGATTCAGAGCCTGTTTCCCAGTGCACCACAAGAGGCAGAGTGAGGAGTGGCCGCAAGCCCTTCACAGCCCACAGAGTGCTGCCAGGCCTGGGGGAGAGAATCAACGGGGCAGAGGAGGTCTTTATAAATTTACCATCTTAACCTATTTTTTTTTTACACTGGGGTTTGAGTCCACAGCCTTCACACTGAATGACATCCTCAGGCCTTTTTATTTCTTATGTTGAGACAGCATCTTGCTAAGCCACTAAATCGCTCAAGCTGGGATTGAACTTGCAATCCTTCTGCCTCAACCTTCCAGACTGTTGGGATTACATGTACCATGCCCAGCAATCTTAACCATTTTTAAGTGTGCAGTTCAGGGGCACTAAAAACACTCACAGTGTTGTGCAGTCTTTAGCACTGTCCAACAGCAGCCCTTTCTCACCTCCCCAATCGGAAACTCTGTCCCTGTTAAACGCCACATCTCCACTGCTCTTCCCCGGCCTTGACAACCACCATTCTACTTCCTATCCCTACAAATGTGACCATTTTAGGGACTTTGTATAAGTGGAATCCTACCACAGGCATCCTTTTTTCACTTAGTGTAATGTCCTCAGAGTTCATTCATGTTGTGGTATATATCAGAATTTCCTTCCCTTTTAAGGCTAAATAATATTCATATATACATATTTATTTTTGGTATCAGGGATGGAATTTATGACCTCGTGCTTGTGAGGCAGGTGCTGTGCCGCTGAGCTATATCCCTGGCCCCAACACACATTTTGTTTAAAAACTCATCCACTTGTTGTGGCTGCTGTGAATAATGCAGCTATGAACAGGGGTGGACAAATAGCTTTAACTCTTTTTTTTACATATGTAGAAGTGGAATTGCTAGATCACATGATAATTCTGTTCCACTTTTTAAGGAATTACTGGGGCAGAAAAACTTTAATTCCTCCTAGGTTTACATTCTTCAATCAAGGGCAATCCTCTTGATATATTTAAAGTTGAATAACAATGAAGAAGGTAGTGTAAATGTTCAGGGATTACAGTAGATTATTACATTACTGTTGAACAAAGGGTTAGAGAACTGCTCTCAGTTCCTTTGTTCAGTTTCCTAACACATGCTGAACTGCTGGATGCTTCCTGTCTAAGGTCTAGCTTCATAATCCATTGGCTGAGTGATCTGTAAAAGCCTTGTAAACACATCAAGTTTGTTTTTTCTGAATCTATGAAACAGGAATAATTGTTTGTACTCTGTCCTTATGGTATATGAGAGAAAAGTAAAAAACATTAAAGTACTTTGCAAATGGTAAATTCATATAACAACCCAGTACACTTCCTAAGTAATAAACTCATACTGTGGGACACCAGGTCACCCTTCCCCAAATGTGCCTCCTTCTTAGTCTGAGGACTATTGAGCTTTGGTAAATAAGAAGCAGCAGCAGGTGCAGGAGAGCTCCTGCCACCTCTCCTGCCTGGAAGCAGACACAGAATCACAGGGGTGGAAGGCACATAACTCCACCTGGAACACAATTTCACCACTCAAGATGGCTCAGAGCCTTCTGCCTAGGTGTGTGCCAGAGGAGCTACACTGATGGGTTCTATCAGCAGTCATTAGTTGCCCTCTCATGAGTCGCTATTTCCAGTGCCTCAAAATCCTTCTCCGTGCCCTGCCCCTTTTCTAAGAACCCACTGATTTGTATTGAACACGCCACTGAAGCCAAGTTCAAAGCCACTTCTTTGAGAGTCATCCTTTCCCTGGGTATCTTCCATGTACTTGCAAAATAACCATATTCATAATCCTGTGTTTCTCTTGCTGATCTGATTTATTGGACTGAGACCTTATAAGGGCTGAGAAAAAATCACTTTCCTTCCCAGCACTACTCTTTATACTAAGGCTGATCAACTAGGGAATCCATGGAAGCTATTTTCAGAGGGGCACAGGTTGCTCAAGCATTTGAAAGACCTCTAATAAGGCCTCTCAGCCTACTCCCCAGATGCACCTCTGTTATTGGGGATCAGTGGCCATGGATTCCTCTCAGCCATTGGATCACTGCGAGCTGCCAGGCTGCCTTTTTCTCAGGCTTATTACTTGGTCACACTGAGCCTGGATAGTTTTAATTATAAGGATTTCCAGAGTCAAGTCTCCTTCAAACTCCACATCCCACTCAGGTAAGCAGCCCTACCACTCTGCTCCTCCATTTACCATCAGCTCGCACAGAGGAAAGTGAATTTATTTTCATGCACACAGTAGTGCTGAAGGGACCTGCTAGAAATTGTCCCGGAGAACTTGAAAAGGGAGCTTCACAAGATACCCAGGCTGAGGTTCTTTGAGATGGGCCCAGGAGCAGACAGGCTCCCATGTATACATGTGAGCTTTCAGCTGCAAGTTGCTATGGAACCTGGTATTCTTAAATTCAATGCCTGTTAAGTTGGTTCTGCCAGAGAAGGCAATGTGGAACAGGAACAATGTTGCAGATAAAGCTTATAACTTCAGTCTTCCTGCTGGCACAGATGGGTTCAATCAGAGACAAACCATCAGCTCTGTGTCCCCATGTATTATTACCTCAGTGTCACTTGTAATAAGTATGCAGATTTGATGCAAATTTTTTACAGCAGGATGGAAATTTTATGTGAAAATGTCACCATTTAAAAGTTTATCAGGTAGGAAAATAAAATGATAAAATTAACCATAGGGGCAAACCTAGATGATTTCCAGGAAAGCCTGCTCTTCTTTCTGTCTCTCTATAGGAGGCCATCACATCTTTCCTAATATACTGCCGGAGCCTTCCATGCCATCACCACCACCCCAACCCTCTGGCCACTTTGCACACAGTGGCGGCAGCAGCAGCAGCAGCAGCAGCAAGGACTTCTCTTTGGGTCTGTCTTCCCAAGGAAGGGTTCAAGGGACCTCACCTCAGGGGCCACAAAGTTTGCTGTATAGCATGGGGTCATCAGCAGCCCATTCTCAGCCCGTAGCTGCTTGGCAAAGCCAAAGTCACAGATGCGGATGGATTCAGGGTTCCCAGACTCATCCATGTACAGAATGTTACTGGGCTTCAGGTCCCGGTGTACAACCTGGGGGGCAGGAAATGTCACACAATAACAGAAGAGAAGAAAACTGTGCTTGGGCGGGACTGTTGGTTCAGAGGCAGGTCCTGCAAAGATGTGCAGCCACCCCCTCCCGCATGCTGGCCACTAAGTTACCATATTTACATCACCTGCTGTTATAGGGAGTGACTCAGTAAGTAAGGAAAGAAGTGCCTGTCTTGGAAGGAACCGCTTACTGGGCCCAGTATACAAAATACCATAGCGGGCGATTGCAGGAATGAAAAGGTTTCCAAACACTATTCTCATTCCCTAAATATTTACCATGTGTCTCCCAAATGCCAAACACTGTCAGGTGCTGGGCAGCACCGTGATGAGGCCTGATTTTATAGGCATGCCAACTCAAGGTGGCAAAGAGCAGGGACAGCACTACACAGGCATAGCAACCAAGACTGTGCCCCATGAAGCACTGGCACTCCCAGGACACCTATAGGGACAGTGACAGCTGCCACAGTGGCAGAACCAATGACACCTGAAAGCAAAGTAGCTATTTAGGGCACAAAAGGATGTCTTCTGAGGGGGCAGAGGGCCATTGTGGGGGCATGTGGTGTGTGCCTTCAAAACGACTTGGGCCAGTGCATCTCAATTGTGCTGTTACAGCCCAGTGAGAGCATCTACAAAGGAAATTAAAGGGACATGCATAAGCACTAAATTTGCTTTGCAGACTCCTGTGGACAAGGAAATAAAAGGCCCAGTCTCAGTTCTATCATCTCCACATTAAACAGAAAAATTCGTCAAAAGCCTCAGCTAGAGGGGCTATCTCTTGTGATTGTCCACTGGAGAACATGGTATACAAAACACCTGGACCACCAGATGATTACACAAAGAGAACCCTTGTGTGGTCCTGAAAGAATATTCCGTCCAGAGTTGGGTTCATTTTGAAGGTTTACAACCTCACATATGCAGCTGGCAATGGTGGCCTTGCCTGCTTCATGAAAATCATGAGGAAGGGTGAGGATGAAGTGTTGGAGGACGGGTGTGGCCTAGAGCTAGGTTGTGGTGTTGGGTGGATCCTCAGCCTTCTCAAGCATGGTCCCTTCGCTTGCATCATGAATGTCATTGTGCTTTGGGACTCAGTATGGAGAAATTCACTATCGGGGGCATCTGAGGGTTTTCTGAACCTCAGCTGTCATTATCATTTCTGTTGACAGGGTCCCTTTGCATCGGTCAATGAATTTGGCTTTATATACTACAAATAGTGAAAATTCTAAATGTCATCTAACAAGGCCAGATTTAGCCTTTTTCCTCCTTACAACTGATTCAGATAAATTTAATTTATTAATGTAGCTCTTGGATATCCGATATATACGAATTATTTTAGATCCTTGAAGGACAGCAGAATACCTTACCCTACAATACACTGCTCTGGCATATTGACTATTTTGAGCTTCAGGAATTGAAGGAAGTAGATAGGAAAAGCTCTCTGACCTCTGCTTATTTACTTAAAAACAGGACACAAATTGATAAATGTGTCTACCTCCTCTTTCTACCAGGAAGGACAGAAGTTAATTGCCAGTGATAATCTAGACCCTCGCTAGCCTGAGCTGGACCAGACCTTACTTGCTGGCCTCTGTGGTTCCTGTATGTTTACCTGCCCTCAAATAATGATCAATTTGTGTTTCTTTTGCTCATCACCTCTGTCACTAACTTACAGAGCCTCAGCCAGTGGGGCTCAGAAGGAGGGCAAAGAACACTTCCTCTGGTTACCCTCAGGGAGGCAGACAGAACAAGGACAGATGGTTGTCTGAGAGGGACTCAGTACAATCAGAAGACCTGCTTGGAACCTGCAGCTCCTCTACAGCTTCAGCTCTCCCGTGGCTGCTCCTGAGGCTGCTCTGGCTGCCGTGGCCTTACCCCCTGGGAATGCAGGTAGTCCATGGTCTTGGTGATGGTGCATAGCACATCGCTGGCCTCACGCTCTGAGAAGCACCGCTGCCGGAGGATGCGGTCCAGCAGCTCCCCGCCACGCATCAACTCCATCACCAGGTATACATACTTGCCATCGTCATACACCTAGGAGCCGAGAAGGGTATGTGCAGGCCTCAGAGAGCTGCAAGTTGCCAGGGTCGTGCTCCCCAGCTGCCTGCTACTGTGAAAGATGGGGCAAAACACAGGCTGCAATCCATGTACCCTGGAACAGGAGCAAGCAGGCGATGGACCTCATGCCAGAGGAGCCCTTCTTGGGAAAAGAACAGCTTTGATACACTCCTGATAAGTGAGAGACAAGTGAGCAGGCTCACTGTGGGATAGTTGGAGGTTCACACAACTACTGGTGATGCTGCTACATCTGTAAGACAGAGATGTGCAGCGTGGACAGCACTGCCCATGCTGTCTCCTAGGACCAGCCAGGATCTCCAGTTGCCCATGTGCACGGACCTGGGAATTCAGACACACATTCCAGCTACATGGATATGAGGGGAGGTGCACCCTACATCTCAAAGCAGCCCTGTGGGGCATCTGCTCCTTCTTTACATCACCTCCATGGCCACGCCAGGAGCCAAGACAGCGGTATCTGGAGCTGGTCTCCCTACTAAAGCCACTTTCATCTCAGAGAAGGGACAGAGAGAGAGCTTTTGTCTGTACTGACATTAATCTCTTGAACTCAACATAAAAAAACAACCACAGCAAAAACTCTGGCTACTTTTGTGCCCAGCTCCTATAGGGCTTCATGCAAAATAGAGCAAAGGACTGACATAGGCTTGTTTTAGTTCACTGATCATCATTTAATCAATGCATTTTCAGAACAAATTAGTAATTTGAATGACTTTGAACTTAGTAAAAGGAATAAAACTAATTTTGGAGTATTTATTTTTGAGTTAATGAACTCCAATAGTCTAATTTTGAAAACTAAAAGATGATTCATTACTGAATCACTCATCCCAAAAGTAATATAATGTCAGTTGAGGAGTTAGGAGGTTCTCATAGGGGTGATCTTTGCTTGTCAGTCTTACACTGGAAACAGCATTGAGCAGTGTAGAAGTGGCTGTAAACCTTGGGGATGGAGAGGGCTTCACATAAGCTTTGTTTACTTTGTCCCTCAGCAGTAAACAATACCTCAAAGCCCTTTTACTCCAGAGACTACCAGAAGGGATATTGAAGTGTCCCTGGCATTCAGAAGCTCTGGGCTCATGAAAAGGATGAAAAGTATCTTCTCTTCCTCATCCTAAACTTTGCACTCCACAGGTCTTTATGGGATGTTGGGCACTTCCTGACTAGCTACATGTGGCCAACTCGCATTCTATCTCCTTTCACCAGAGATGAGGACCAGCCACCATCCCACAGAGAGTCGGAGAAGCTTTGAGAAGAAGCCGCATGAGCTGGCCGGGCCTGCGGCTGGACCTCCCCTCACTCCTAGTCAGCTCACTGTCATGATTAGGATAAAAACCCATGACACATCTGGTTATCATTCACACAAAGTGCCATGTCCTCTGTTATGCTGGTGCACTGTGTGATTTGCAAGCAATGGGGAGCATCCAAGGCATACACACACAGGTCTCATGAATTGGGGACCAGTCCCAAGGGCTCAGAGGTACACAGGGTAGGAACTGGCTTGGGCAAGCAATCCTGGGCCCAAAGAACACTCAACATGTACAGAAGCCTATGCAAAAGAAATGGGAATTTTTGTCAGCTGAAGCAACAAGACGCAGAGGCACTGTGGCCACTGCCTGAGACTACTCACGTCTTTGAGGGTGATGATGTTGGGGTGCTGGCCGTACCGCAGGAGGATCTCGATCTCTTCTGAGGGATCTCTTTTACTCTTATCAATGATCTGGAATACATACAGCATACGACTAGGATAGGTTTGCTGATAGGCTTTTAGACAGGTTTCTCGTGGATCTTTCAAAAAGAAGAATGACAGACCTCTGGGGCCTCACCATGTCCTCGCTGGACCAGCCTCACGTGCGAAAGACCACTTAAACTCTCTAAGACCATTAAATTCAGAGGCAGGCCTTTTTGTCTTCTCGATCACAAGAGTCACATTTATTATGAGGTGGCATAGGGTGAACGCTTCACCGTATGCTTCACAATGAAAAAGTAATTTCCTACAGTAGAAGATCCATAACCACCAGTGTCTCTCACAATACCCTGTCTTCTCAGACACGCTCATCCCACTGCTCTTGCCACTTTCTGATGCAGTTCTGATAATCCTCTTTCATGATTGCCTTCATTAGATGTGATCAGAAATATGGTGAATGCAGCCACTGAGTGCCATGCAAAGGGAAGGGAGACTTATAAAAACATTATGTTGTCTCCTCATTCACCTTATTCCTGGATCTGACACCATGTGATTTCTGGGTCTTCTTTAAAGTCAAAATTACCATGAATGGTAAATGTTTTGGATTGATTCAGAACCCTGAGGTATTCATGTCAGTGCAACTGAAGACACCAAGGAAAATTTCCAGAACTATTTCACACAGTGACAAGAATGAGGGGATAAATGTGTTCCAAGTGAGGGGGAGTATTTTGAAGAATAAGACAACATGTCTTTTCTTGTAATAATTTTTTAAAAATTTAAACATTCATTATATTTTTCAGTTGTACCTCATAAGGATTAACCTGAGAATTTCAGAGCTAAGATATTATAAGGCTAGGTAGAGAAGGGTGTGCAGGGTAGCTCACGCAGGCATCAGCAAGGAATATAACCCGTGTCCCCACTCCCTGGAAGGCTCTGGGCTGGGCAGCTGAGCTTCTCAGGTAAGCCTCCAGCCACTGTTCATCTCGGGCATTTTCTGTAAGCTACACATCAGCAACTCCATGGGGTGAAATTTGTGGTTCTTGCCAAGAAACACTGGGGATAGGGAGCAGGCTGGATTACCCTCAAGCCTGAGGTACAGGGAAGCCTCTTCTCTTTTCAATCCCCTCTGCACCCAGAACTTGTACTCAGTGGCTTAGACAGTAGACAAAATTGTTTCATCCCATAAAAATAGTTGGCTTCCTACAACAGAATGTCAGGAATGCAAGTCTGCTTTGAGATGGAAAGTCAGTCAATGCTGGTGTATGATGGCTAAAATCTCTGGAGTTTCTTACTGAAGCACTGGTCCCCTACCTTTGTGGGAAGGGAGCTGGTGCCATGATTTGTGTTTGGATGTTTCCCCAAAGCCTCATGTAGTCCTAGGGGATGGGCTTCTAGTTTGTGATCGATCCCAATGCTGGGATTGAGTGTGAGTGCTACACCTGCCCTAGGCTGGGTAGTCTGTACACAATATAAGAGATGGAAGGAAGTCTCTGTCTCTCTCTTTCTCTCTCTCTCTCTTTTCTTTTTCCTCCTCTCCTTTCCTCTTCCCCTGCCTCCCTCCTTTTTCTCTTGTTGCTTTTGCTCTCTTCTACGATGGTGAACTGCTGTTTCTCTGCCATGGGCCACGCTGCCTTGGAGCCAGAAAATTATGGACTGAAACCTCTACAAACTGTCAACTAAATAAACCTTTTTTGCTCTTAATGTCAGGTATCACGTATTTTCTCTCAGCAGTGAGATAAAGATAACTAAGATGGTTGGTGAGACAAGGATAGATCATTTATGTAAAACTAATGGCATATATGTTGCAAACAACACCCAAGATAAAAGACAGGTCATTAGAAATGCCTTCCTAATAGTGATGTGTACCAGTCTTATGCATTAGCTCCTCCTAAGTTTAAAGTTTTCACTCTGGGGAATGTGTAGCCAAGTTAGCACTCAAGTATGGGAATGGTTTGCTTTGGCTTTTGTAACATTGAGGACTCTTAAGTGGAGCTTTGCATAAAAGTCAATTTATTTTCTTTAGATGAACTTAAGGCTGTGGTAATCTTTGACACACTGCTCTTAGTTGGTGCCCTGTTCTGCACTGCCCACACTCATTATAAAAAGCCTTGAAGTTCTAAGTCCTCCAGCCTATGGCTGTTTTAAAGTCTATCCCAACTAGTCATACCCACGCTGTACAAGGCCTACGAATGGCCTGTGATGACAAACAGAAGACCAGTAAGCACCCTTTGCAACATAGATTGTCTCCTTCAGCTACATTTAATTCCATGCACGGAAACTCCTATTTCTGGGATAAGCCAATACACAACACATTGTTCTGCAGGACAGACAATTGTAAAGCTTCCATGAAGCCTGGCATGGTAGCCCACACCTGTAATCTTAGTACACTTGGAGGCTGAAGCTAGAGGATCACAAGTTTGAAGCTGACCTGGACAACTTAGCAAGACCTTGTCTCAAAATAAACATATCCAAATATACTTCACACATCCATCTGACCCCCCACTGTGAGATTAAGCAGGATGAGAGACTAGGGGAGTCATGAAGGGAATGGTTAAGTATGTTATGTACAAGCCTGCCAAAGGGAAATCCATTAATCTGTATAACCCATCAAAAAAGTAGGAAAATAAAATTAAAAAGTGCTGGGGATGTAGCTCAGTGTGAAGAGTTTGAGTTCAATCTCCAGTTCTGCCAAAAAACGAGAGGAAAAAAAAATGGGCCCTCTTAATAGGGGTGGGCTTTTTAAAATGCCAAAGCCTGCTGGTGCTATGAGCTATCTTTGCAGTCCTTGGCAGAGACTTGGCCTAGAGGTTCCTGAACTCACTCCCCTGGGCTATGGTTTATCTTTACAATTTGAGAAGGTTAAAATACTTTCTCTTAAACTTACAAAAAAATCAGCAGCAGATCTATTTTTTTCCCCAAAGACCACTTCATGATAAAGTGACATATTTTTAGCATGAATAAGTTTGGTTCCCTCCCAAAGGAACAGGATGCAGAATAAACAAAAAAGAGGAAACCTTTTCTGTACAGCCAGGGACACTCGACACATGTCAAGACCGACACAGTGCAGATGCATCCTACACTGTCACTTGATTTAAATCTGGGGAAGGAATGTAAGTACGCATCCTACTTCCGAATGCGGGCGCAAATAACCCTGAATAACTTTGGCTTCCTTTGGGGAGGAGAGCTTGTACCTGGGGGCCCTCTGAGTGGGAGACTGAGTGGGAGACTTTTCACACATTTTTTGAATTCCAAATGTGACTTTTATCTATTGAAAAAATGAAACATGAAGGCAATGTAACTCTTACAAGAGTTACTATTACACCTGAGATTCTGAGTGATAGATTTCTCTATTTACTTTATTTCTACATGTTCTTTTGTTGTAAGTTATGAGAAAATTTCTTATTTATACTAATAACTATGTGTAATTAGCTTTTTAAAAAAACAGTTTATCTTAAAGTTGTACCAACATTTGAAAAATATAATAAAAGTCAGTGTGCTTGTGAGAGAGGGTGGGCTAGGACCACCATGGTGGGACAGAAGGTTGGGACAGCAAAACAAAATCCTGGGCATGATAAACTGTGACCCTTTGTAGTGCAACATGTTTAACCTGACCACAGTAACACCTCAATAAATCCAGAGAAACAGAATGTTTGAATGAAATGAGAAGCTTTTCCCGTGCCTCAGTTTCTTCATCTTTGGAATCTGGGACAACTGTTTAAGATTCAATTGACATGCATCTATCTCTTCACACCCTTTTCAGAAAGCCCTTCATGCAAGCAAGTTATTCTCATGGCAGTGGTAAAATATAATCACACTTACTACCCTGGGTGATGGACCAAGTGGCCGGGACCTGTCATACTAATGCTCCTGAACATCATTTTTGGTTTTTGTCTCTGAATCTTCCCTTCAGGTTCGTGTCATGGAGCACAGCAATGTTCAAAATAAAATCACAGTAGAAAGGCCCCAGAACAACATCAGCAGCCACACACAAGTGCAGTTGGAGGAGAGCTTAATGATGGGATGGCTTGCTAAAGTGCAGCTGGAGTCCCCGTGAGCTTGCAAGGGACACGCTGCAGCTGTGGGCAGCCACGGCCTCGAAGGCCTGTGGGCTGCAGGTCATCCCTCACAAAGGAACTGTGATGTTGGAAAGCCTCGTGGAGGTGAAAAGGCCTCAGTCACCTCCTCTGGCTGCAGAATTTCCCAAGGCAACAGGCAAGGCCAGGGGACAGAGATGTGGCTCCCAGCTTTAGGGAGCAGGAAGAGGCGTGCAGAGGAGATGGAGACTCTTGCTCAAAGGGTTTCCTTGCTGCAGACCTGGGACTGGAATGGGTTCTTATCATGCCCTTCTTGCTTTCCACCTTCTCCTTATCTGGTCATTTCAACTCTGCCTAAGCAACTGGGTTCCATACACAGACCAGATTTGTTCTAATCCAGGTTTGATCCTGATGTCCTAAGTGCTGGCTGCTTTCATTTATAACATTTTTTATTTTGAAAGTTTTTTTTTTCTTAATTGTATTTTCACAAAGAGGGTGAATTATTTGAAAGAATGAATGAAGGAAAGCAGCGAAGAGGTGTGATTGCTGGTCCTTGAGCTCAGGGCTACATCCCATCTGGCAACAGATATGCAGGAAGGCCACCTGTCAGAAAGGACATCACCCAGGCGACAGCAGATGCTGTGTGTGTCCTCTCTCTTTAGAAATATGAAGTCGTTGTCTGCCCCTCCAGGGAGCAACTATAGCTCCAACAATCAATGGCACAAGACCATGGCTTTGCTCAGTGGGTGAACATAAAGTCCCAGGTTGAAAACAGTGTCATTTCTGGTGGCCAGAGCTGGTAGAGATAAGACTTTGCTACCCCCGATGCTCTGTTTCCCCTCCCTGTTTGGTGTGTGGACCTCTCCTTGTCTTTGTCCCCACCACTGGAAATGTTCCTGGGCACTGACTGAGGGCCTGGGGTGAGTTCGGGGCTTGCAGGATGCTTGTGTCCCCTGACTTGTCCAATGATCAGTATTATGTTTGAAGCGAGGCAGGAGA